GTTGACGAAGCCAGCAGCTGGCTTCTCAGACATCAGTGGAAGGGGATGTTTGCCGAAGCCACTCTTGGGCCAGGAGGTGGCATGCAAGGAGGAGTGGCAGTGCTGGCACGCTCGTGGCTTGGTCTGCATCGTGCGTTTAGATCTGGAGGAGGAGTTCTGGTGCCAGGCCGAGCATTGCTGGCAACAGCCCACCCCCCAAGCTCCACCCCGCTGACCATCGCCTCCTTCTACTTGCGCGTTAACGAAGGACTGTCGAACTGAAGTCTAGACATCCTTAGCAGAGCGGGGGGAGCTGCGGTGACTTTAGGGCACGACGCGATTGTGGGTGCCGGCTTCAACAATCCCCCTGAAGTGATCTTGGAGAGTGGGTTCCCCGAGAAGCTCGGGGAGTTAGTCCGTCCCGACTACGAGGCTACGTGCTACGCAGGTCAAGGGAGCAAGTCGCTCATTGATTATTTTGTTGTGTCGCCCAGTGATTCAGTCAGTTGAGAGAGTCACCTCCACGGTGATCAAGACGCACACCCCAATGCAGATCATACTTTTCCCGCGGGCGGCTGAGTTGCAAGCCCTGCAATTCCTGTGATTGAGTTTGGCAACCACGTTCTGGACGCGGCTCGAACAGGTTTGGTCTGCCAAGCGCGTAGGAGGTTTGATATTTTGTCTTGGAAGTTCGCGAATAAGGCTGAACGCGAACTGCCTAGGACTGGTCGGGTTGACACGTAATTCTATGGTAGCAGAGGAAAGCCACGAGAGCTCCAATGGGTCCATCTTTAATGCTAAGACGGATCCCACCAGGTAACCGAATATGGCTGCCATTACAAGGCTTGACAACCGAGTGCGGCAAGTTTCTGGTTCTTTTCAGGCCATGGAGCAGGTCGGCGTTTGTGGCGAATGGACTTCGCCTCCCAAGTTTGTGCTCGACGGGATCGGCCAATACCGTCTCGCCCTCGACGCGGCAACTGCCCTGGCCTCGGAAGCTTGCTCGCCCGTCGGCGCAGAGAGAGCCAAGGTGCTTTCCTTTCTGGCGAAGGTGGAGAGGGAATACGAGGAGGTGAAGAACCAGACCCAGGAGGAGGCTAGGACGGGATGGGAGAACTGGCTTCTGGCCAACATAGACAGGGGCGGCAGGAATGCCCACCTTGCGAGACAGCCTGCTCCTGGGTGGAAGCCAACCACCACGCTGAGCGCTGGTGGCCTCGTCATTTCCGGCCCGCTGGCTCTGCTGCGCTCTGAGTCCGAAAGATTCCAGGGCCTCTGGAAGGCCACTCCTGAGCGGATCCAGGGGAAGGGATTCTCCGGGGCCCAGGAGGCCCCTGCCGATTTTGGAGCCTGCTTTTATCCGACGGGTGTCGGCGAGGTATCCTATCAGGTCTGCGCGGAGTGTGAACGGCTTCCACATGAGGGCTTATAGTTGGCTCCCTGACGAAGCCCTCTCTGTGGTGGCCTTTTTTTGCTCCCTGGTCGAGACCCTTTCCACCCTCCCCTCCCAAATCAGGGCGATCCAGGTGGCGTTGCTTATGAAACCGACTGGGGGTTGGCGTCCGATTGGAGTGTTTGTTTCCCTATTTAGGCTTTGTGGTAGGTGCAGGGGGGTCTATGCCTAAAAATGGGAGCACTCCCACATGAGACCCTACTTTGCGGGGTCGAAGTTTGCGTCAGCCTCTGACGTGGTGCGGCGACAAGCCTTTGCGCTCCGAAGTAGGAAACTCGAGAGGTGCAGCGTCGGCGACAGTCCTGTGGGACATGGCGAAAATCTACGAAACATTCCAGTTGGACAATCTTCTGGACAAGTACAGGCTGTTCGGTTTCCACATGTCCATTGCGCATTAATGTGTCAACACCTGCCGCAGCGTGCGATCTCTGCCTGTCTTTGATGGTCTCTGGACCACATCACGCATTGCTCGGCGTCATTGCGGGCTGCAACTTTGCGACTACGTTTGTGCGCATTTGTCTGATTGGTCCTTTTGACCAGATGGTGGCCAAGCTGCCCAGGAGTGTGAGTATTGACCAGTACATCGATGATTCGGGATTAAGCTGTACGGGGAAGGCTACGGATGTGATCAAGAATCTCAAATCAGCATCGGCTGACCTGCATCAAGTTTTTGTTTCGGAGCTTGGCTGCGGCGTTTTGCGCGAGAGGGCCAACTTTGCGTGTTCCAACCGGGCTGTTGCCAAGGATCTGCGAGATGTCCTTGGGGACTTGGCTGGGCCCGCGGTGGAGGGCGCCTCTACCCTGGGGATCGAAGACACGGTTGGGCGCCCGAGAAAGGTTGGGAAAAAAGGCTGCCAAGTTCGTCGTCCGTCTCCAGAAGTTTCAGAAACGGTCCAGAATAATCAAAGCGATTGGGAAGTCTTTAGGCCGATTCTCCAAACGTACTTTCGTGTCGGGCAGTTTGCCTTGCATCGAGCATGGCTCGTCTGCGCGCGGGGTGTCCGACAGGACAGTTCATTTGATTCGGCAGTCCGCAGGTAAGATCCTTCGTCCGCAAGCCGCTGGCATATCTCTCACCTCGCTCATAACTTTAGAGGGCGTCCCGTCCCGGAGATGCGAAATCGCCCCGATCCCCAAATATTCCGAGGAGGTGCGGGCTGCTCATACCTACTCTTGCCCGCGCGGGCGTTCCTTCCAGGAGCTCAGGATGGCTTGGGAGGTGGGGTGCCAGGATGAGGGGGTCAACGATTGGAAGAAGGTCAACGGCCCCATTGCAGCTTTGAAGTTATCGCTGGCAAGAGTCTCGTGGCATGCGACGGATTCCGTTACGTTGCTGAACGACTTCGGAGAGGAGATAGTGCTTGCCTATGCCTCGCCGTCTCGTTTGGAAGGCATGCTGTTTGGTGCTGTGCTCAGGTCCTCAGAGCGCCTCGCCAGCAGCAAAGCGAATCTCGCCTGCCCGAGATTGCGCTTTCGATGTCGTTCGAGCGAAGATCCGATCGAAGCGTCCCCGCTCGGCAGAGGCTGTGTGAAATCACTGGTCTGCGGGGCGATCTGGACTCCGAGTCGCGCCCTAGAGCGTGGGTACCAAGCTCAGTCAAGTAAATGTGCCTTGTGCGGTGTCTGCGACGACTCGGAGTTCCAGACTGTGGGAATGTTCGCAGTGCCAGGCGCAACGGTTGGAGATCGTTGCGCAGGCAGACATCAACATGGCCCTTGCAGCGTAAACAGATCCTGTCGACAAGCTTCGTTTTACCCGAGGAGTTGTTCTGCACCCAGGGGATGTACACCCCCGACCTGCGTTGCCTGGGACCACGGACCTACGCTGGACTGATGAGTCCAGGGAAGATGGAGATGTTCAAAGAAACATGCTCGTAGATGGGAACTGTAGCCGTCAGATCATTCCTGAGCTTCAACGGGCTGGGCGGGGAGTTGCTCATATGTGGGATGGAAGTGAGGTGGAAAAGAGGCTGCTCGGACCCGTCCCATCCCCTTTGGTGACCTCCTCCCAGGCTGGGGAGTTTCAGAGTCTTGCGATGGCTGCTATACAGCTTGTAGGTGATAGAGCTATTTGCTCAGATTGTCTTCACGTAGTTCAGCAGAGCCAGCAGCCTCCCGAGCAGCAGCTTAGCTAGTTTAGACCCTATGCAAACTGATGCAATATGTTGCGCAGGGGGCCAGATGGGTGAGACAAGATGCAAAGGTGAAACCCCATTTGGATCGGCAAACGGAAGGTTCAGATGTTTCCGAGCGGTGGCGCCGACTCGGGAACTCTGCCGCCGGCGCTGCAGCTCGGGCTGGAGCTGCAGTGCACCCTTCTCGGTCGGAGAACGAAGGAGCTGAGCTCCAGCGTCGAATCAGACTTGCCAAGCCTGTCTGCAACATTGCCGCCTCGCTCCGCCCACTCTGGCCGAAGCTCGAACTTTCAGAGGTTGAGCTCACCCCGCCCCCCCTCGTGCCGAGTCTGGTCCGCCCGTACCGTCTCTCCCTCCGTGTCACGGGCGGCAGAAGTTGCGGGGATTCTTCTGGTGCTTGAGCTGTAGCAGAGTGAAGCGAGGAGTGTCGGAGCCTGCTGCAGGTGAGTGTACGGAGCTGCACGGTCTAGCAGGTTCTACCCTCAGAGCTCTGAATCACAGTTGCATCTCGCTAGAATCCAGTGGTAGTGCGTTGCTCACTGTATGTCTAAGGTGTAGATGCTCTTCTAACCACGGACAGATTCGAGGACTGTCCAAGCGCCGCAGCGATCGACCCACCCGTCATACCCAGGACAAGTGGAAGCTTCTGGCGAGGGGCAAACATCCCCAGCGTCCTGGGGTTACAGTTGAGACGGGTCCGTGGTCGATCCTCTTACTCTTTCCTCGTCGCCGTTCTTGTCAACTAAATTCTCCTCCTCCTCCGCCTCGTCCTCCTCTCCTCGTCCTCCTCCTCCTCCTCCTCCTCCTCCTGCTCCTGCTCCTCCTCCTCCTCCTCCTCCTCCTCCTCCTCCTCCTCCTCCTCCTCCTCCCGCTCCGTCTCCCTGATGTCCGGCGCTGCGAAACAATTGCGAAATCACAGAAAATCGTGATCAAAGCCCTAGACCCCGCATTCCTGCTGATCTTTTCGAGCCAGATCACCCTGCGATGCTCGCGGGGCCCGAAACCGGGCACGAGCGCACGTTTTGAAGAAGTGACAGCGGCCCGATGTCATGGGACGCCGAGATCTGAGGGTTCTCCTCCTCCTCCTCCTCCTCCTCCTCCTTCTCCTCCTCCTGACCGTTGCCCTCCGGCTTTCGGGTCATAACTCGTCTCTCCAACAGCCTTCCAGGACGATCCCTGCTGGAAAACACCCCGAGGCCAAAACTCACGAAAACCTCAAACCTCGAACGAACCCCTCCTGAGCCTAAGGTACTATCCCCTCTAACAAGGCGGCGCGCCCGGGGGGGAATGAGAGGGGGCGGGCCTCCCCCGAGCGCTCGGAAGTCCCCCAGCTTTCCGAGAAGTGCTCTACGCCTTCCCCGAAGACACAGAAGAGCTCTCAGAAGGTGCGAGGGCTTCTGAGAAGTCCCGCCGCCTTCTGACAAGGCCTTGTCCTCCTGACTTCCCCCCTCCTCTCCCGCCGCCGACCAGCGCCGGGTCCTCGCCCCGCTCCTCACTCGGGCCGCGCCGCGGCGGCGGCCGCGGTGTGCTGCTCCACGAAGAGGCGCACCGTGGGCAGTTCCTCTGGCAAGACCCCGTGCACCGCCACGAAGGCCTCTGCAACCTCCTGCGAATTGATGGCGAGGTGCACATCCCACCCCTCCACCTCCTCCTCGAGGTCCTCCTCCCCCTCCCTCTCCTCAGGCTTCTACCCCCCGTCCTCCTGCTCCTCCTCCTCCTCCTCCTCCTCCTCCTCCTCCTCCTCCTCGTCCATTTCCTCCTCCACCCCCCCTCCCCCATCCTCCCGCCTTTCCTCCTTCCCTCCTCCGCCCTCCTGTCTTTCCTCCTTTCCGCTCCCGTCCGATTCCTGCGGGTCGTCGACGAGGTTCCACTCGAGATTCGCGTGGCGGCCTCGGGGGAGGGGCGTGGGGTGGGGGCAGAAGACGGGAGGACGAGGCGGGAGAGGAAGGGGGTGGAGGAGGAGGAGGAGGAGGAGGAGGAGGAGGAAGAGGAGGAGGAGGAGGAGGAGGTCGGGCTCGGTCGGGGGAGGAGGAGGAGGGAGGAGGAGGAGGAGAGGAGGAGGGAGGAGGATGAGGAGGAGGAGGAGAGGAGGAGGAGGAGGAGGAGGAGGGGTGCGGTCGGGGAAGGACGAGGTCCCCGTCGGTCGGCAGACGTGGGCAGAGGCATGCGGCAGGCAGGCTTTGCAAGCAGACTGGGCCTCCGCCCGCCCCCCCCGAGGAGGAGGGGAGGTGGACGACCACTCGGCTCTTGAAGCAGGGGAGGGGAGGAGGAGGAGGAGGAGGAGGAGGAGGAGGAGGAGGAGGAGGAGGAGGAGGAGGAGGAGGAGGAGGAGGAGGAGGAGGAGGAGTGACCCTTCGCTGGAGTGACCGTTGGAGCGCGGCTCTCGGGGTGCGCGGAGGTCCAAACCCAGGCACACAGGCCGCCATCTGTCGCAGCGCGTGCCACGCTCTGCAAGCCGCGCACCAATTGCCGTCTAAAGCAGATGTAGGGGAAAAGCATGACAACTCGGAGGTCCGCGCGTACTGGGACCACCGAAATGTTTTATGTCGATGCCATTGCGTATTCCCCGAGGGTTGGGCCTCGGGCAGCCCAAAAAACCTGCAGAGTAGAACCGTCCACAAGAAACCCAACCCCGAGACCCAAGGGCGTCCAGAGACTTCTGGCGTGGGGACGTCGCGCCCTCCACGGCAAAACCATCGAACACCAAGAAGCCCCGGGCACTCTGGAGGCAAGCGGGGTGTGTCTTGGCATGGGCTTCCACTGTAGAGGCTGCCTGCCGTGTGCATGCGTAATGGGGGGCCGCGGTGCACGGTTTCCCCCGGGGCCGTTGGCGACCCGAGGAGGAGGAGGAGAGGAGGAGGAGGAGAAGGAGGGAGGAGGAGGAGGAGGAGGAGGAGGAGGAGGAGGAGGGGGAGGAGGGAGGAGGAGGAGGAGAGGAGGGGAGGAGGAGGAGGGAGGAGGAGGAGGACCTCGAAGCGGAGGACCTCGAGGAGGAGGAGGAGGAGGAGGAGGAGGAGGAGGAGGAGGGAGGAGGAGGAGGAGGAGGAGGAGGAGGAGGAGGAGGAGGAGGAGGAGGGGAAGGAGGAGGAGGAGGGGTGGGGTGTGCACCTGGCATGGGCCCCCACTGTACTCTCAACGGCCGACGGGTGCAGTCATCGTGCTGCCCCAGAGGAAAGAACGACGGGGCCTTTCCGGCCACCGCGGTCCGCGCGTAGGTCCGCGCGTGCTGGGACCTCCGACCCTCTGATGTTGATGTCATTGCTTGTTCCCGGCAGATTGAGACGTGGGCAGCCCAAAACACCTACTCTCAGCGACGCTGCCCCCGAGGAACAAAAACGACGGGGCCTCGCCGGCCACCGCGTGCCTCGGCCAAGCCGTCGAGGCTCGACGACTCCAGAAGAAAAAGAGTGGCCCGAACGCCCGAGCCCCTCACAAGACCCCCAAGTGGTCCTTCCTGCAGCGTCTTGACTGTAGGATTAGGTCGGGCGTGTCCCCTACAGGTGGATTTTTGGACGAACAATGAAACATGGCCATCACATATTCAACAGTGGTCAAAACACACGCTAGAACAATCGTCCCCATACGATTCGCTCGCACTACCTTTGAACGTTCCCCCTGTGGAGGGACATGCCCGACTTGAGACGAGGCTCGACGACCCAGAAGGAGCAGTGGCCCGAGAGCCCGAGCCCTTCGCGAGACTCCCAAGGGGCCCTTCCTGCAGCGTCTCGACTTTAGGATTGTGGATGCCACGACAATGAACACTCTAACAATCCAATCATTGATTCCAAGTGTTTGAAATGTGTAAAACATGTTCAAAGCATGTCTCAAGCCTGTTTTGTTTTGTTGTTGGAAAAACAGATTTTAAACATGTTTGAAACATCTCTTAGACATCTGGAATCTACTTGGCAACATACTTCCTCTCCACTGGTCGTCCTCCACAACTGCAGGACAACAGGGGGGAGGAGGGGCCTCGGCCACGACGGGCCAGGCTCCACGACCCAGGAGCAGAGTGGCCCGAGAGCACGAGCCCCTCCAGAGCCTCACCAAGTGGCCACTCTTGCACTAGGTCGGGCATGTCCCCCTACAGGCGGATTTTGGACGAAACAGAAGGTCAAAAAAGAATCGAAAAATCGTCCCCAGGCTACTTTTGTACTATTTTTGAAGATTCCTCATGTAGAGGGACACGCCCGACTTAACTCTTGCAGCGTCTTGGCTGCAGGACGACAAGGGGGAGGAGGGAAGGGTGAGCCTGCCGGGTCTCCGGAGGCCTCCAGCGTCGTCGAGGGCTCAACGCCTTCTGGCATCCCTCGACTCGCGCTGTGGCGGCCACGATTTGCTCCAAATGTCCCTGGAGATCTCTGAATTTACCTGGGTTTCCCCAGATTAACCTTGATCTGCAGCGATTTATCTGCACTAATCTTGATTTATCTGGCTCGATCCCCACATGTCGATTGACGAAAAATCGTCAAGCCCTTCGGGGCAGGTCTCCGGAGGGCTCAGTGGTCGTCGTCCTCCTCCGCTTACTCCTCCTCCTCTTCCACCTCCTCTTCCTCCTCCTCCTCCTCCTCCTCCTCCTCCTCCTCCTCCTCCTCCTCCTCCTCCTCCTCCTCCTCCTCCTCCTCCTCCCCCTCCCCCTCCCCCTCCCCCTCGCCCTCCCTCCTCTCAGGAGGCCCGATAGAGGATGGCTCTGCCATCGGAGAGACAACACCGCAATAGCATGAAGCTTCGGAGGTCTGCGCGAACCTCTGAAAACTTGGACCCATGGGGTCTTGCTCCTTCGACCCTGCGTAGAAAAAGGACGAAGGGAGGCGTCGGCTACAGTCAACCCATACAGTAAGGATGCGCGATAAGAATGCAAGGGCCTTGGACGCCCATGTCGAGGGTCTTCGAGCGGGGCGGGCCATCGAAAGTGGCTGAGCGTGGGCCGATGAGGACCGAAGAGGCAAGGAAGCAAGGGTACCCTTGGGAAGACGATCGTCATTACTATGCTTGTCGACTGTAGACTTGGGTCGGGCATGTCTTCCTACAGGGGAATGTTGGGAAAAGTGGAACCCAGTCAACAAAAATCAAACACACTTTTAAACATAATAGGAGATTCGTCCCCAGGCTATGTGTTGACTACTTTTCAAATGTTCCTCCTGTGGAGCGACATGCCCACCTAAAACTGTAGACGCAAGAGCGGCCGTGGGCAAGAGTGAGCTGGCTTCGCGCAGCGTAGACGGGTCCAAAAATAATCGGAAGTACTCCAACATAGTAGGAGCATCGTCCCCAGACCATGCTCTGACTGCTTCTGAACATTCCTCCTGTAGAGCGACGTGCCCGCCCGAACTGTAGACGCAACGAGCGGCGTCTGGGAGAGAAGAGCGGGCTGGCCGCTCGCCGACCCTTGGCATGCGACGCGACGCCGGCGGCCTGCCTGCCGGGGTCTGGCCCCCCGGTGCAGGGCCGAGGCCGGCGGCAGGCAGCAATATTTCGTGCCCCCCCCCCCCCTCTGGGCGGCGAGGGAGGAGGGGCAAACGAAAAAGGGGCGGGCCTTCTCAGAGGGCTCGGAGGCCCCCCACCCTTCTGAGAAGTGCCCCAGGCCTTCCCCGAAGACAGAGGGAGACTTCTCAGAAGGCGCGAGGGATTCTGGGAAGTCCCGCCGCCTGCTGGGAAGGCCGTCTCCGTCTCACTTCCCCCCCTCGCTTGCCGCCGACCCTCCCTGCCCCAGCATTCCCCGCCCTTCCCCAGGCATCTGAGGCCCTTGCCATCGAGCGGGCGTCCCTTCCCCGCGCACGTGTCGGTCTTGTGCGCGCGCGTTTGTGTGTGTGTGTGTGTGTGTGTTTGTTTGGGGGGGGGGGGCTCAATGATCCAGGCTGCTCCTCGACTGTCATCGCCGAGCAATGCGGCGCACGTCCGAGCCATGCAACAAGTGCATCGAATTTCTTTGAATATGCGACGCCGACGACGACGAGGGGAATGATACTGATGATGATGCTGATGATGATCATGGTGATGATGACGCTGACGAGGAGGAGAAGGAGGAGGAGGAGCAGGAGCAGGAGAAGCAAGAGGAACAGGAGGAATGGAGAAGGAGGAGGAGTAGGCGGAGGAGGAGGAGGAGGAGATGGAGGAGGAGGAGGAGGAGGAGGAGGAGGAGGAGGAGGAGGAGGAGGAGGAGGAGGAGGAGGAGCAGAGAAGCGAAGCGGAGGCAACAGGGAGGAAGGAGGAAGGAGGAGGAGTAGGCGGAGAGAGGAAGGGAGGCGAGGAGAAAGAGGAGGTGATGGAGGAGGAGGGAGGAGCAGGTGGAGGAGGACGAGGAGGAGCAGGATGAGCAGGATGAGCAGGAAGAAAAACTGACGAGGGGAGGAGGAAGAGGGGAGGGGGGGTGAGGATGAGCCATCTTGGAGTCCTGGACAGAAGGAGAAGGCAGGATCAGGAGGAGGAGGAGGATAGGAGGAGGAGTGAGAGGAAGGAGGGGGAGGGTGAGGAGGAAGAGGAAGAGGAAGGAGGAAGAGGAAGAGGAAGAGGAAAGCTGATGATGATGATGATGATGATGAGGATGATGATGATTGAGCGGATGATGAGTGATAATGTGATCGAGGAGCGCTGTCAGGAGGACGAAGAGTGAGGAGGAGGAGGAGGGAGGCCGAGGGGAGAAGGTGGAGGAGGAGAAGTGAGACGGAGACCTTTTGAGAGAAGAAGGAGGAGAGGAGGAGAAGAGGAGGCGGAAGAGGAGGAGGAGGATGCCCCAGATGTCCTGGCTGGCCCTCTCCGCGGGCCGCGGGGCGCTTCGCCCCGAGCCGTCTCCCGAGAACACCCGGGGCCATGGCGAGGGACCCAATAGGCCGAGATCGGAGGGGGCTTGCTCCTCCTCCTCCTCCTCCTCGTCCTCCTCCGCCTCCTATCCTCCTCCTCCACCTCATCCCGTCCACCTCCTCCTCCCTCCTCCTTCCCTCCCATACATCCTCCTCCCTCCATCCTCCTCCTCCGCCTCCTTCCTCCTCCCTCCTCCTCCTCCTCCTCCTCCGCCCCCTCCTCCCTCCTCCCCCCCTCCCCCCCTCCTCTCCTCCTGCTGCTCCTCCTCCTCCTCCTCCTCCTCCTCCTCCTCCTCCTCCCTCCTCCTCCTCTCCTCCTCCTCCTCCTCCTCCTCCTCCTCCTCCTCCTCCTCCTCCTCCTCCTCCTCCTCCTCCTTCTGCAAGACACTTTCAGCGTGCTTTGAGCATGCAGCACAGCGCCCGTGCCCAAACCTTCTCCTCCTCCTTCGCCTCCTCCTCCTCCTACCCGGAATGCATCTGTCTTGCCTATATTTAAAGCGTCGGAAGTCTACGGTCGGCTCGTGCGGCTTCGGCGCACGCAGAGGTTTTTGAAACCATGTCAATCGTTCGACCTTGAACCGATCGCTGCCCCGATTATTCAAAGTTTAATTCCGTCGGGTCCAGTGGCGTCACTGAATCTCTCGGTGCTTCCGCGTCGCAGAATTCAACGTTGAACGCGTTCGCCGGCGTCGCCAGCGCGCCATCGCCGCATGAAACTGCCGTAGGTCATCGCCCGACGCGCGGAGGTGAAGGGCAACGATAAGGGGGGGGACTGGCATAGGGGCATCGACCTGGAATCGGCGATACATCGCCGATAGATCGGCGATATGCCCCAGATAGCGAATCTGCACGCTCCTGGGTAGGGCGGGGCTATCGGGCCCCTGTCGACGATCAATGGGCGAAATAGGAAAAAAACCTCCTGTCGTCTTTTTTTCATGACTCGAGGGGGTCTGGGGAGGAGGGCTCTGACAGCCGATGACCGTCTCCAACGGCCACGGGGATGGAGATGTCGAAGCTGGTGGTGCTGCTGCCCTCCGTCGCGTCCGTGGCCGCCGCGACTGGCTCAGGAGGCTCCTTGGCGGCGCCCTCAGCGTCTGGCACTGGCACCTGGCTGCACTGTGCAGGATAGGATAGTGGCGGGCCGATGCGGCGAAGACATTGGATGAATTATTGAATTATGCTGTCCCCATCGTACCTGAGGATCACGCTCCAGAACTAATTTCAAGCACCCCGAAAAGTATCGGAACAGAGTTTGCCCGACACGCTGGCGAAGTGCCGAGCGAGTATCGCCTCCCAGCGCCCGACGCGTGAAAACCGTCCAGCTTCGATATTTTCTTGGTGCTCGAAATTCTCTCTGGTGATCGAGGCTGAAGTTGGCTGGAACACCAGACCCATAATGAGGAATCCAGGGCCTGGAAGCTGGTGGGACAAGAATTGAGGCTCGGCCATGGACATCACCGACGCCGACATCAAAGGATGCATCCTCCGGGATCTGAGGCCTCCCGGGCACACTCCATAACGCCCGCCCACGCCGACGCTGTCTGCCCTTCCTCGAAGAAGTGGCGACCCCCTGGTGGGGGCCCCCCGTGGTGCTGCCATATATTCGGGGCTCCCTGGAGGCCTCTCCAAGGAGGGGCCTCCACGGGGACCCCCGCAAAGGCCGGTGGGCCTCTGGGGAGCTTCGGGCGGCCTCTGCGGTGGGAGGTCCCTTTGAGCACCTAGCAGCAACCGGGACGATCGAGGCTCGAGAGGGTCAAGGGCTTGGAAGGCACATCTTTTCCCCCCCTCCTCCTTCTCCTCCTCCTCCTTTTCCTTCTCCTCCTCCTCCCTCCTCCCCTCTCCTCCTCCCTCGTCCCTCCTCCTTTTCCTTCTCCTCCTCCTCCTCCTCCTCCTCCTCCTCCTCCTCCTCCTCCTCCTCCTCCTCCAGCCTCCCTCCTCCCTCCTCCATCCTCCCTCCTTCCTCCTCCCTCCTCCCTCCTCCCTCCTCCCTTGTCCTCGTCCTCGTCCTCGTCCTTCTCGTCCTCGTCCTTCTCGTCCTCGTCCTCGTCCTCCTCGTCCTGTCGATCCTGTCGATCCTTGCGCAGCCAAGCTCCTCCAGGCGAGACAACTGGGCGGCGGGCGACGGCGAGCGACGCGAAAACGAGGCCAGGGCCAGCAGGCGCGACCGCACCGCTAGGGCCCCGACCGATGGAGGGGCACAGGCCGACCCACGAAGGATTTGGAGGACGGATCCTTCCCCTCCTTTAGCTGCTTGAGGGTCTTCTCCGCTGGCTTGTTGGGAGGCGCGCCAGGGCACGGACCTCCCAAAAGGCACAGCTTGACAGACCCAAAAGCAGCGCACGAATTACACCAAACAACACGCCCGCCGCTAATCCAGAGCTTATGGCTGGAGTGGGCGAGCCTGGCAAGCCTGGGGAGGCCCGAGCACGGCAGTGCGCACACTGACACCTCAGAAAACCCCGCGGCACCACAGTTGACACAGAGATAGGCCCCCTTCCCCTTTGTGCACGTCCTGTGGACGGCATGCCCCTTGAAATCACAGACCAAAATTAAATGGTCTTGCTTGGGGCGGGGGGGGGCCTTACATTTCTGGACATCGGGGAAATTCTGCTTGCTGAGCATCTCCCCAAAGCACGCAATGAACTTACTGAAGTCTGCTACCTCCGAGCTTCTCTGTCTCTGGAGGGCGCGGAGGCGAGGATTGCAAGGGTGCTCCAGGGCTCCGCGCTTCGCCAGACCGTCAGCAATGCCGTTGCCGACCCAGGCCCAGTGAGGGGCCTCAGAGGTCTCTAGACACCTGCTCCATGAAATGTGACTCTTAATTTTGTGCAGGCAGATCATTCCTAGACCTATATCTAGAACGCGACCCCATACGAGCTCCCAGACCTCCGAGAAAACAACCTCCGACATGTCCGACTCGGGCCCGCGGGCCCACACGTCCAAGACAGCCTGGCAATCAGTGTAGATCTGGGTGCACTGCGAGGGCCCAATGAGCTTGAGGGCCATCAGCAGCGCATACAGTTCTCCTGCTCCTGATTCCTGGACGGGATGAGGAAGGGGTCCAAACGCACTGCCCTCGCAACGACTGCTCTGATCCATGGCAACCACTGCCCACCCTGCACGCGCAGCATACAGGGAAGTCGTGTCGAAACCTGAGCCGTCGATGCATATCCTGCTGCCTAGGAAACCTGCTTCTGGCACTTTATCCCACCGCCAGGTCTCGGCCGTGGACACCTTGGGCCAGTCGTACCCTGGGTCTGCACAGAGCGCTCTCGTCGACAAGAGATCGTAGGCGCCCAGCTGCAAGCCTCTGTCCACGCACAGCGGCAGGTCTAGGTCCCGCCTAAACATAAAGAACCCGTCACACTGGAACAAACGATGCTGTGGCGTGCCGTTATACATGCCGCAGACCCTGCACAGCGGCGTGATGGCTCGCCTGTCCTGAAATAACACATCCTGAGTGGGATGACCTCCTGCGACTACATTACACAGAAAGGCGGCCGCTGAGTTTCTCCCCGCCTTCCTGAGGCCTCTGAGGGTATCCATGATGGGCCCCAGGAGGGGAGGAACCACCCGCTCAGGATCTTCGGGATCAGGGACCCCAACATGCTCCAGAAGCCTCATGTGCGTACTGTAGTCAATCAACTTAGTGAGGGTGCGCTTCCCGAAGTGGTTGAGGTCCAGTAGGAAGCCACGGCAAGACTCCCAGGTGCCCCAAGCAGTAAACCTCCAGCCCAGACGATCCAGGGTAGCCCACACAGCTCCAGCAGGCCCCCGAACCTTGTCCCAGGTCCTGGAGGCTGCCTTGGGGTAGGCCTGCACGCAGGCCCTCATGATATGCTCGGGGACCCATTTCTGTTTCACAGCCTGTTGCCACATCTTGAGGGGCAGGAGGTTGGCCTGGAACACCGGGTCCAAGCCCCTGGTCGGGCCCAATAAAAACTGCAGAGTCCTGGAACGGCCCCTCGCTTTGCCGAACGATGCCTGACCTATGATAGAGCGCAGCTTCATGACCGTGGAAGTGTTCATGCCTATGACCGCAGTGCCGTAAAAAGCTGCTGGCAATCCACCTGTCTTCACGACCTTGCGCAAGCCCGAGTAGCCCGAGCGGAGGCCCCTAAATCGGCGAACTCGGGGCCCCAAACTCTCCCATCTCGATCCCTGGGCTGGAGTTCGGCGCCGACCAGCAGTGTAGTCAACCCCAAGGTTGCGAGCTGACTTAACCACCTGGAATTTCCAACGCAAAAGTCGCGTTTTCACCCGAACCTCGATGTCCCGAGAAGTCGCCGTGATCAGGCCTTTCGTGGGAGAGATCAGGAAACCAAGTTTCTCCAGGTTGTTGCACAAGGTAAAAGTAGCATCGGCCGCCGTTCTCGCCACCGCCCTAGGCTTACCTGTAGCACCACACGTAATATCATCAACAACATTGCAAATCCGAACCGAAGGGAACTTCGAAACCACCTGGTCTAGCGGGTCGAGAAGGAGGCACTTTAGCAGGGTGGTGGCGAACGTGCAGCCTGCCAAGATCGCCTGGATGCAGGCGACAAACTCAGAGCAGACCCTGCCCACCTGCAAGACCCTCTGGCCCCTGTACAAGCAGAGGAGGTAGCGCAGGCGATGCAGAGGGAAACCGTGCTTGATGGCCGCCGAGGCCAAGAAGAAATGAACCACCTTCTCATAGCACTTGGTCATATCGACCAAAACAGAAGCCGCCGAATGCCCAAAAACGTACGCGCGCTCCATCCTAATAGCCTGCTCCCAAACAGCTCTTTCGCACGATCGCCCCCTGCTTCCGAAATGGTAAGGCCTGTCATGGGCCCGCTCCCAACGATCCGCCTGTACCCGAGAATATGTTCCAAAGCACCTGACACTTCCTGACAAGATTCCGATGGGCCGAACTCCACCTTCCTCGTCCTTGGGGATCATGGCAATGATAATCGTGGCCAGGACCTCGGGAAGCTTGCCAAGAGACTCCATCCAAAACCAGAGGGCAGCCACGCACTCCAGAGCCCCGTCGCTGAGGATCTCGAAATCCCTGGGGTGTGTCCTATCCGCGCCTATCGCCGTCCTAACCTTGAACTTCCTGGAGCACTTTCGGATCTGATCGGGCGTGGCCAAGACCATGGGCTCCTCGGAGGACTCGGAGATCTTCTCTGTGAGGAGGCTGATGGGGTCAGGGAGGTCCTGCATGCTAGGCAAGGGGCCCCATATCTTAGCCCATTCGTCCATGAGGTCGTCGATGCGCCCCATGGGCCCCTTGGGGGGCCCTCCCTTCGGGTTCGAAGGAACCCATCCCAAGGGGACCTTGGTGAACTTGTGGGCCAATCCAGCCCCATTGTCCAGACTTGTCTGGACCCGAGATCTCCAGGCCTTGCCCCGATCCGATTGAAACTGCTTTTCAAGCCGCTCTGCATTACGCTTGGCCTTGGCGCACAACTGCACGAGGCCACAGAAGTCGAGGCAACGCAGGTCGGTCTCAGAGACCGCGCACTCTTGCCAAAAGGGGTCGGCACGGAGCGCTGCAGGCCCTTGTAGCACTTGGAGAAAAAGTGATCTGGCAACTGGTCGGTCCATAGGCACTCCTTTCCTGACGAGATAGCTAAGCTCCTGAATGTGGATGGACCACTTCCTCCAAGCTCTCCCTTTGGCCGAAGAAACAGGGTAAGCACCGCCCGAGACTGGTGCAGCTGGATGGATTTTAGTCTTCATTCCTTTGGCCCGGCCGCGATACTTGTGCGCATCGCTCTTGCCAATGCCGTGGATGCCAATCATCTCATCCTCGAAAAGCTTGCAAAACCCAGCGTAGCCTCTGTCCAGAGCTGCCTGGTCGCCGCGCGCCTCGAGCTGAGCTAAACATGCAGACCAATCTGGGGGTGGAGGCCGCGGACCGAGCGGGGCTTCTCGAGGGAACACCTTAGGACCTACAAGGACCCTGGTCTTGAGCTCTCTGGGGGCACCTGAGAGGTCCAGCGTGACGGGCCAATGCGGGGCAGTAGTACCACGTTTGTTAACCGAAACAGCGTCGAACAACGGCCCGAGCGACTTCGAGATGACGAAAAAGTCGATGGTGGTCCAGGAAGTCGACGATTTTCGACATGTCGGCTCGG